TGTGTGTGTGTGCAAGTGTGTGTGTGTGTGTGTGTGTGTGTGTGTGTGCAAGTGTGTGTGTGTGTGTGCAAGTGTGTGTGCAAGTGCGCGTGTGTTTGCTTGCTTGCTTGCTTGCTTGCTTGCTTGCTTGCTTGCTTGCTTGCTTGCTTGCTTGCTTGCTTGTTTGTGCGCGCGCGAATGTGTCACATCTAACAACAGTTTCGAAGCAGTCCTCTCATCAGAAAGCGAAGGGTCGGTTGTTGTGGCAAGCCCAACCCCATCTCTTGATCAATTTGATAGCCGTTCTCTCCCCGGTGATTGTATGTATACCTACACACCCAAATGTGCATGCAAAAGCATGGATCTTCCTGCTCACGGAGGACGGAGAATTGCCTCTTCCTGCCGGTGGCAAACTTCGTGGTCGCTTGCTCGCATGCTCGCCTACTCTTCAAGCTCGGTGCACTGATCAATGATCTCAAAGAGTAGCAGTAGCAAGAGCAGTCAGATGACATAAAGCCCGTAACAAGCCATGGGCAAAGTTAAGAAAGGTCCAGCTTTCCGGCTGGAGGGTGAAGGCATACACGCCCGATTGGGTTGAATTTGTTCTTTCATGTCAGGCACCGCTACATGCTGGGCGCACTTTGGACGGCCCCCACCACGCCCTACGCTGGGGCCCCAGCATCATCGACCTGCTTGCCAGGCTACGGAGTCTTACCGGGAGACTTTACTCTTTTGGCGGTTGAAAGGTCTCCTTCCACGACTCGGGACTGCCCGAAGGTTTTGCAAGTAGTTCCATAACATGAGATGCTTAGAGCGTCGTTGTTGTTTCGACAGGATGTTCCGCATCTGCTGCGGCTCGAAGTTAGACTGCCATGAGATGCGTGCACAAGTTGTTGACTTCAAGCCCCTCAACATCAAAAGGGCGACATCTAAAATCGATGCGTCTGTCCGTTTGGCCTGCACTGGGCGTAGAAAAGCACTTTGCGTGATGTCGCGCCCGATCTGCCGATTGAAGGTTGTGACGGGCCATGCTACCGCTCTACGGACCTCAGCTTGTGGAAGCGAGGACGTCGACGACGTCGACCTCGACAGCCTGGCCTATGGGTTCATGGCTTCGCAGGACACCGATGTGCATTGCGGTACCCAAATACAAGAAAGATGCAGGAAATACTTAGACTCCCTTTCCCATGACCCTACCCAGATGGACATCTGAGACGAGGAAAGTGCAAACATGTGCAAACTTCTACGTTCGTTTGCCAGCATGTTCGAAGCATAGGGAGGCCGGCGGGCCGGACAACTGGCTGAAGGTTTTGCAATTCAGCCAATAACTAACCCAGATCCAGACTCCGCACCCAAGAAGGGAATTGTGAGTCAAGATCATGATGGTTTGGCACCCCTATGTTTTGACATGCGCACTCAAGACTGCCAAGGGTGGCAGAAGCGCTAAGCAGATCTGGTATAAATTAAAGTTAATTAAAGGTAGGGCAAGGGTGCAGTATAAGGACTCGAATGGCAGGTTGAGGCCATGAGAGCACTTCGGACTGATTCTGGCTGACGGCCTACACCGCATCATCCCACTAGAAGCGAGAAGTTTACTGCATGTTGTCCTGTGCAGGCTCTTTTTGCCGCGCTGGAACTGGGCGTCTTCGATTGCCTGGCGAAGGGCCCGCAAAGCGTCTCCGACTTGGCAGCCGGGTGCAGGGTGCCCTGCAATCGCCTGCAGACCCTGCTCACAGCGCTAGTGGCAGCAAAGTGCCTGCGCCGAGACGAATCACAGCTCTACAGTAATTCGCCGAATGTTCAAAAGTTTATGGTGTCGTCTTCGAAGGCGTACTATGGTGACTATTTCAAACATCAGGTGGGTGGCTTGTTTTATGCCCGGATGGGGCAGCTGGCAAAAGTGCTGAGAGGAGAGGAGGTACTCGACTACTCCCAGTGGTTCTCGGATCCAACAGTGGCGGCCCTCTATACGTCCGCGCAGCATAATGGCAGCCTAGCCACAGCGAAGTCCCTCTTCAGAAAGGTTTCGCTTGCAACGACGGGTCGGATGCTGGATGTCGGCGGAGGCAGCGGCGCTTTCTCCCTGCAGGCCGCCCACATGAACCCCGAGTTGAGGGCCACCGTGCTGGATCTTCCGGAGGTCTGCCGCGTCGGAAGAAGCCTGATGGAGCAAGCACCAGCTCAGAAGTCCAGAGTTGGCTTCAAGGAGTTGGATGCCACCTCTCCCTCCTGGCCCGTTGAAGCAGAGTCTCAAGACCTTACTCTCATGTCTTACCTTTGTGGCTCGGTGCCCGAGGATCTGATTGCACAGTTGTTTCAAAACGCCTTCCGAGTTCTCCGCTCGGGTGGCCGTCTGGTTGTGCATGACTTCATGGTGGACGACACCAGAGATGGCCCCGCCTTGGGAGCCTACTGGGCACTGCAGCACGTCACTGTAAATTCCACAGGCCTGGGCTTGGCCCCCTGCGACATAAGCTCGCGCATGAAGGCCGCAGGCTTTGACCACGTGGAGGTTTTTGACATGATTGCGGGCATGACCAAGGTCGTGCTTGCTACAAAGCCCTGATTTAAAACCTGCGCCACGTGAGACAATGCGGTGAGATCGACTTGGCCCGCTCGTGACCAGCTCAAAAAATTGAGGCCCCTTTGTGCCGATGTTAGTTTTCTCAGAGATGCCTGAGAGCCCAGGTTTCGTATCGCTGCTGCCCCTCGAGCCCGTCGGTGCCAAGGAGGCCAGGACAACGACACCCCAAACCCTAAAAAACTCACCCCAAGGGCTTTGCACCAAGACTCACTGAGGCAGCATCTGCCGAGCCACGTTTGGGCCCCAGATTCAGAATAGAAGTCTGGGAGGGAGGGGGGTCATCTCCTAAAGCCCGAGAGCCTCAGAGAAGATGGCGTGCTTGAATGTAGGTCCCCTCATAGGCCCTGGTAGTTTTGCTACGCAGCACACCCCCCCCCTCCGCCCCCGAGGCCCTCTTTCTAGATTCTGGATGAATGGCGCCTGAACTCAGCCCCTACACTCCCTTTGAAAAACCCTTGTACAGAAGTTACAGAACCCATATGGGTATTCCTCTAAATTCGGGTCCCTTTCTAAGTCCCCCAAAGTGTACGGCACCCTTATAAAAAGGAGCCTGAAGGTGACCCTTTAGAGAGCCCAGAGCCCTGGAATCCTTTCAAGCGTGACCGCAGATCCGCGAGGCTGGACGAGCTTTCCGGCCCTCTGGGCGAAAGGTCCACGCCCCGGCCTTCTCGCCATCCTAGGACAACATAGTTATAAATTCAGCTATCGACTAGTGAGGGTGCCCGTCCTCTCGGGCGAACTGACCAAGGCCCATCTGGTTGAAGCTCAGCCCTGCAACGATCTAAAACGGCTTTTCGAGGCAGCAACTTTCTGCGGCTGGAACCCCCGAGTTGACCCAGACGTCTTTTGGGAGAGCGAGAACCCCGTCAACTTCAATCAAGTCCACCTTCAACTTCGTGAAGACATGTCAAGACGATGACGGAAACACGCGAGTAAGCACATGTTGCATGTCATAGGAGAGACATGGAGAGAATCATGACGACATGGACAAGTACAGGATAAATATGATATACCCTTGTTTAATTTAAGAAAGCTGGCGTAAATTAGAGTGTTGGTTTTATGGCATATCGTCCTGCAGTGTATACCAACTAACAACCCTGGCTGCTTAAAGTTGATCTACTATTGACTACTACTTTGCAGTTCATCCACGATCTGTTCGACTGAGGCCGGGCGACCTTCGAAGAGCGAGCACTTCTTCTGTGCTCACTGCTGCTAGGTTCCCTTCTCGGAGAAGGGAGAGGCGAGAGGAGAGGAAGAAGAGCATGAAGGAACACCGGTCAGGAGTGCAAGCTGCTTGTTCATATCGTCTGTTGATGAGGATGATGAGTTTGCTAATGCTGTTGACGATGCCAATGATGACGATGATGATGCTGCTGATGGTCGTGATGGTGATGATGATGGTGGTGGTGATGACGATGATGTCGGCGATGGTGAAGAATCGCAGATGCTCATAGCTCAGTAATGCTGCTGGCGGCGGTTCATCCAAAGCCACGTTGAGGTTGAGCACTTCCACCCCACCACCCTGCACATCCATGATATTCCTTTGGAACGGATTGCCAACTTGTGTTTATGTTCATACTACATGCTTGGGCATCGGTTCAGGGGGACTGCAACTCATTAGCCACAACGCTGCGGTGAATTTGCGGAAAATACAGGAGACGTTTCATCCCCCCTTGCTGTACCTCCCTCATCCGACTTGAGCTTCCTTGCTGATTGTATTGGCTCAGGAGCGAGCTGACTGACTCAAATAAAGCCCCTCCGAAACGAAAGGTTACTCCTTGGATGCCTGGGTCTGCCTGGGCACGGACGACAAGGGGCTCGCCCATGCCGGGAGCCAAGCCTAGTGACCTTGCAGGCAGCGGCTTAAGAAGAGAGTTCTTACCCGGAATGCGAACGCGGACTTCACCGCTGCAGCAGCTCCTGGAGGACCGTTCCCTGCGCAGCACAAAAGCGGAAACATAGGACAATTGTTCGCTGCTGCCGTCTCTGGACCCTGACTCTGCAACCATACAACTGAGCATCAACTCCAACACTCTAGCAATTGGCTGTGATGATGACACGCACAGCTGCTACGAGTTCTAGAGCTGTTCCATCAAGTACGAAGTCGCTCATATAGGTCATTCACCTCCTGATCGTGCTATTTCTCCTCACGTCCCCCAAGATACCACACCGTAGTATAATATACTGTACTATACCATAGTACGTTTTGGCATCCGAAAGCACAGCTCAGTGTGTCAGAGAGTATCCAGGCCTGGGTCTTGGTCCGCGATCGCGCAGACGCATCCACACCTGCCCAGGCCGGCTGAGACCTGAAAGGAGACGACAGTTAAGTTTTAGGAAATAGGGGTTTAGGGTTTAGGATGTAGGGATGGCGAAGGTTTACGAAGTTCCAGGGCTCAGGACTCTTGACTAGGTGACTCGGATTGTGCAGAGGATATGTGTGCATGGGAGCCTGCGAACCACTCCTACGTAAGCGCTAGAGCTGCGAGCTGGAGTCACTCAGAGAACTTAGGAGGATGCTGTCAAGATGGGTTCGCGCAGAGATAAAGGATTCAGGACTCTGAGACTCTGGCAGACTCCGACCTCCACCAGCACAGGTCACCCTGTGGGATCCACGGAATGCGCAGCGCATCAAAGCAGACGATCCCCGATACCTGAGGCACTCGAGCCCAGCTGGCAAAAGAAGGAAGGGACTGGTGAGTGCTGTAGCCGGAGCTTTTGCTGCCTCGTTCAGTCTGGAGAAGCTTGTTTGTGAAGAGCTTGCGTACAAGTTTACGGTGAGCACTGAGGTCCTTCTCCTCAGTGTGATGCTCAGCTGAGATATCTCAAATGCCAGGCTCAATGCACCATCAGACTCGCAGTGCAGCAACTTGCTGTCCACCCGAACGTTGTGCAGCTGTCAGAATCCGATTACCTGGCCAAGTGATGCTGCTTTCCCCGAGAATTCAGGTCGACACGGTGTTCAATCACCAACGTATCCTCGTTGGCTTCTCAGGGACGATATTGTCGTGCTTCGCGCATCATGCCGTTGAGGGAAGCATCTGCACGGCCGGACTTTCAATAATCTACTTGCGACCTGTGTGCGACGAGACTGGTTCGCCCGCAGCGACTCAAGCAAAACAAGGACTTTCCCCGTGTTCAACCGCGCTCCCTTGTGAGAGCCATGTTCGTGAAACTTGCCTTTCTGTGCTTGTGGACGGCAACTTGCTGCACTGAGGGTAAGATTTGGCTTGTCTGGCCTTGGGATGCAAGAGTCTAAGAACAAGCAGCGGAGCGACGGCGGCATCAGAGAGCTGCACAGGACAGGCTCTCGACTCACATGCCCCATGCCTCCTTCAGAGTTCGACACATCGGGAGCCCGGACACTCGCTCCTTCAGAAGTACCTCGGCTCTGGCCGCTAGCCAGACGTGAGCGCAGAGATGTTCCTGCCCCAGATTCATTCCGCTCTTGAGGCTCCGGCCTCCCAAGTCGTCGCTTCTCAAGAGCCAAGTGCAACCGATCACGCAGCTCGTGAATCTGACGGAGACCGCGAAGAATCAGGGCATTCCATTCCAGGCCCCTGGGTTTCAAGAGAGCACAAGAGAGCTCCTCTCTGCATTTGCGGTGTGTCGACGTCCTTCCCCTGTCCCTGACCAGATTTGCTGCCTGGAAATGCACTACTGGTGGATATGGTGTGCAGACCTCCTTTGCACGCCTTCCTTGCTGCAAGCCTCTGGAAACGGCGAATGCGTGTGCGACGCGCAGTATGAGGAACCTAGGTGGCAGATATGTGTACATCTGCTTTCAGCATGCCGGGCATCTGCACAAAGGCTGCACAGCTTCAGACCCGTGTCGCTCTTTGCTGAGGCCGGGGCTCTGGACTGCCAGACCGCCTTAAACTCGGCGACGCCATGCGGCAAGCCGGAGGGCTACCCCGGAAGCGCCTGAGGCACCGCAGCCATGTGAGGCCATTTTCAAAGCTCAAGCTGCTTGGGCGTTCCGTCGCGGCTCCTCCAGAGCGAAATGCGACGCAATACATCCAAGTTCGCCGAAGACCTGCAGATCTGCCGTGAAATGATAATCAAGTCCGCCTGCCGGGCTGTTGGTTCCTGGGGTCTTGGTGGCCGGGTCTCCTCCTGTTTGCTCTGTCTCGTGGTCTGACCCAGCAACCCTAGACTCCTAATAGGTCCTAAACCTCTGAATCCCTAAACCCTATAAACCAGCACGAGCTGCGCCCCGAGGTTTGCCACGAGGAGGAGTTGCAACACGTCTGCTACGACTTCAGCGCCGCTCTCGCCAGGTTTGAGATGGTCAAAGGCTTGATCCAACTAACGGGGGAACAAGTTTGGTTGGCATCGCAAATGTTGCACGCACAAAATTCCAACCTGAAGGGGCGAAGGCTTCAGGCCTAAACTTGCATCGCACAGACAGCAATATCGCCTATATTTGCCCTAGATGCCCGCAAAATCCTCCAAATGGCAGGATCCCCGATCCTGGCTGGCCGCCCCAGTGGACCAAGAGGCACGTCCAGCTGCTCGTGCGTCCAGCTTTAGCCGGACGGACATTTTTCATTTTTGTCGGTGCTCGGGTAATATCACTTTGGCTACACACTGTTGTGATTTCTTAGCATGTTTGCGGCCTGGCAGATCTTGGATGTCCTGCGCCTGTACCCGAGCACTTTCTGCTGCGGCCTCAGGTTCTGCCAGTTCTAGCTCTTTCAGGAAGCCGGTATGTGCAGGGTATACGGTAGAACACTTGTTCAAGGATAGCCCCAAGCAAAGGCCCTAAAGCCTCAACGATACTTTTGATTTTGGTGATCGTCTAAAGCATCCAGGCTCCAGAGCCTCAAGTAAACAACGGCCCCTTAACCCTACTATACCTACTATAGGAGCCTTAAACAATTACCTATACTTCTTTTTTTGGGGGGGGCAGGGGGCTCCTTACTTTAATTAGAGTATACTGAACCCCAAAACATCCCAAAACCCTCTTCTAATTATTAAGGCTCCCATATTAGTCCAACAATCAAGGCCCAGGAATTGCAGACCTCGCGCTCAAGACGTGGCCTCCGTCCATGGACAGCGAGCCTCTGGAGGAGGCTTGGAGGGCTCTGGAGGGGTGGCAACGCCCAAGGACCGAACACGATTCAGAGCAATTCGACTCCCTGGACAGCAAAGGCCCTACTTGGTAGAGCCCTGAAAAGATAAAACCCTGAGACGCCGTAAGGCGAAGTTTCAGGGCACGGAGCCTGCACTGCGCTACTAGCGTTTCTACGCTGGGCCATGATGGGCCATGGGTTGGAACTGCCCGAGCGGAAGGCTTCGGCCACGGTCCCTTGCCCTCGCCCGCGAGCCTGCTTCGGCCCTGTCCCTCTCATACCTACACCCAGATTCCAGGCCATCGAGAGCAAGCTGGGCGCCGCAATCCGCAGCCACCGCGAGGTTGGCCAAATCTGTTACGTACTGACCGAGACGCTTAACCGCCTGCAAGCCCAAGCCCTGCCGCAAAAACAGGCAGCCGAACCTCTAAACGCCTGAAGTCTATTGAGGCTGCAGCCGGTCGCGAAGCCCTGAGATCTGCTCAGACTAGGAGAGCCTTACAACTCCACTTCCACAGGTGAGAAGAACTCAGAAGCCACAAACCCAAAGATGACCCCGAGAATGTACCCTGCCTGGGTGTCCTGTGCATAGCCGCAGGCTGCGGTCTTGCCCACGCGGTTGGACTCCCATCTCGCATCGCCCTCAGCCCAGTTGAAAGAGCTAAGCGAGGCCAATCTGCAAGCAAGGCCGATCTGCAGACGAAGCGGACATGCCATCATCTTCACGGGAATCGTGCAAGATGCATGCACGTCCGTAAGTTTGAAACACACCGCCGCAGCCCGAAAGAGAGCGTGTGGTTTGGCTATGAGTTGCAGGCCCAACTGCTGCACGTGGCCCTGGTGAATTGCGAGTTCCGGCCTCAGGCTGCTGTCGCTAGGTGCAAGCTGCGGCAAGCTACTGTCGCCGTCGAGTCCCGAGAGCCCGCAAACACAAGCCGCAGTCCACGTCGCCAAGGTGCGAAAGACGCGGCCTGCCATCGCAGGCCCGGCATACTCTTATTCTGGTGGCCACAGCGGACGACCTCTCTACCGCGAGCTTTCTCGACAAGCGCATACAAGCGCAGAATTAGTTCCTGCATCGTGATTCCTTACGATTTTACAGAACCCGACGATTTATGAAAATCCGGCCTACACCCTGAACCCTCAACCCCTGACCGCCAAGCCCTTGAACCCGAAAGCATAGGGGACACCTAGAGAGCGAACCGAAAACAAGCAAAACAATCTTGGGGTTCGGGAGTACAGTAACTGCAGTAGTTATTAGTTTGAAGACAGCCCGTGCCTGGATGATCGCCTCCGCCAGATTGGCATTCAAGGGAACATGAGGGGCGAAACAGAAAGACACAGTAGCAAAAGAGAGAAACGACCCTAAGCTCCTATACGAGCCTTAAGCCCTAAACCCTAAACCCTGATAGATCCTTTCAAGACTTGGCTTCTGGCAGGCAGCGGTTTTCGAGGGCCTGGCGAGCCGAGTCGGAAGCCCAGCATCGAGGAAGTACTCTCAGGCCCGAGGCCTCTTTGGAGGCTTCTGTAAGTTTCGATGAGGGTTCTGACGTCCATGGTCTAGGGCTAAGGGCTTCTATAAGGGCGGTGTAGGAGCATCATTGAGGCTTCTATGCCCATGAGCTTGCTCGCCGTAGAATTGGCAAGAGACGAGACTTCGGGTTGGAAGTGCTGCGCCGCAACACAAGACTTGAGACTGGCGGCTTCTGACCGCGAGGTCTGTGCCCCCGGCGAAGTGCTGCGTGCCACGCCGCGGCCTTGAATCGTTGAGAACTGGTTCCACCACATTTTAAGATTGCATAGGTTAGCATCTAGCAGGATCCGCAGGCACCCGCCAGTGCAGTCGACAGTTGAGCACTATTGGGATACGTGGAAAGACAGCAGAGGCCCGTGCAGTTCAACCACCTGCGCGTGTGGAAGCCCAGCCATGTCAACGGCATGTGGTAGCTGCAGTAGTTGCAGCATAGTAGTCGTCATCGCTGATATCGTCGCTGTCGTCGCATTGATTACTCATGATAGTCGCCGTCGTCGGCCTTGCACAAGCACCAGTGCTCGCATTGTTAAAACTGGTACCTGCAATATCCGTACCAGCACCGGGACCCCTCCTCCCCCCTCCTCCTCCTTCCCCTAATACAGACTACTGCTGCTGCTGCTACTCCTCCTCCTACTACTACTACTACTTCTACTTCTACTTCTACTTCCACTGCTACTTCTACTTCTTCTACTATTACTATTACTACGTTACTACTACGTTACTACTACGTTACTACTACTACTACTACTACTACTACTACTACTACTACTACTACTACTACTACTACTACTTATATTATAGGATTGGAACAATAACAGCAATGACAGCAATAATAAGAGTCATAGTAATATTCATTAAAAACCAA